AAAGAACAGAAGACATTCAGCATAAAACACGGAATACTTCACATGACTGCAATAAAATATTAACTTGTGTTATATCTGTTTAATGATGCAAAGATGTGTTGCATTCTTTTATGTTGCATTTGTTTAACTCTGTGAAGCTGGGCTACTGTGTCTGTCTAAAACATCTGATGGTCTAGTAAGGAGCTGAATGCTTAATAGAGAGGCAGGAGAAAGGACAGGTGGGGCTGGAAGGCAGAGAGAATAAATAGAAGGAGAAACCTGGGAGGAAAAGAAAGAGCAAGAGAACAAGGAGAGGAGGATGCTAAGGGCCAGCCACCCAGCCAGCCACCCTCAGAGTAAGAGTGAAAGAAAGATACAAGAAGTAAGCAAAGGAAAAGGCTCAGAGGCAAAAGGAAGATGGGGTAATCTAAGTTAAGAAAAGCTGGCATTTATAATTAAGAATAAGCCTCCCTCCATGTGTGATTTATTTGGGAGCTGGTTGGCGGGCATCCCAAAAGAGCAACAATTACCAACAACACATGATGGCTAGCCTGTGGGCAAGAGGCCAAACTTGATTTCTTGCTTCCAATAATCAAACTTAGTACTTCAGCTGCTGATATGAAGATTATTTACTTGTGATCTTCAAGATAAAAATGAACACAAGATTTTGTAGGGCCAGCCAGATTTCATGAATAATTTGGTGTTCCATCCCAAAGAAAGCTATGAAATTGCAAGGGTAAGCAATGGCCCCTCCTGCAGGGTATGGGGCTTGGAAGGAAAAGTAGATAGGCCATTTTCTTCCTCATTCTCCTTAGGAGTGCGGCATACCCAGGATGCTGTTAAGTTATGGTTGTAAAGAAGAATGAAACAATCTTGTTTTATGATCTAGGCCCCAAAGTCTCTTTAGTCAAATAGACTGGTGCTTAAAGCATACCTTTAAAGTCGGTGCTCTTGCAGAAAGTTAATGGCTAATTTGGCAATGTCTTCTGTACAGGTACCCTCAAGAGACTAGCCCTGTTCATACGGAGCAAGCACACTTATTTCAGGTGGCCTGCAATTAGTGAACACTTGTTTGCAGCCACTGGTCATCCTAGTAAAGTGATAGATCAGTTTCAAATACATCACTGAGGGCAAGCTCAGCCTGTCCTTTCTAGTTCTGTAGCTGCTGGAGCTGGTCTTTTCCACTACATGCAGTTGGAGGCTATCACACGTGGCTGTTTTGGGTGACCAAAATATAAAATAAAAATTTCTCTGTATTTTTGATCTTATACTTTATGATTTTAGTATTCTGTCCAATTTCTTATTTTAATACCAAATATACTATAAACTCTAGAATATCTCAGTTGTCTCTTCTGTTAAGTAAAATAGTCAAAAATTGTTCAAAAGTTGTTCAAGTAATTTGATTAAAATATAAAATTTTATTCAAAAATAAGTAGGAACAGAAAAAAAGTAAAACAGCCAGGTGGTGGTGGCACACGCCTTTAATCCCAGCACTTGGGAGGCAGAGTCAGGTGGATCTTTGTGAGTTCGAGGCCAGCCTGGGCTACAGAGCAAGATCCAGGGCAGGCATCAAAACTACAGAGAAACCATATCTCGAAAAACCAAAAAAGAAAAAGAAAAACAAACAAACAAACAAACCAAACTAGGTGGACATAGTTGCAATTTCTTGAATTCACAAGCCCTCCTTCAAATCAGTAAAAATGTCCGGGCTGGGGAGATGCCCAGTCAATACAGCACTTGCTGTGCATGATGAGGACGTGAGTTCAGATCCCACCACTCAGAGAACAGCTGTGTGTGGGTCTGCAACCAAAGCTGTAAGTACAGGAAGGACGGGAGAGAAGGGAATACCTGGGGCTCACTGGCCTGCTGGCTTAGATGAATCTTTGAGTTCCAGATTCAGTGAGAGACCCTCAAAAGGCAGGGCAGAAAGTGAGAGGAGACACCTGACACTGACTAGTAGCCTCATAAGTACACCCACATGTACATGTGCAAGCACAAGCATAAACATGTAGAGTTTAACTGAATGGCATAAAAGATACCAGTCAAAGCAATAATCACACGAAGGTGATAATTACTCATGAATCATGTATAAGTAATAAAGACTAATGATCACAAAAGCTGAAGATGCAAAAACCCAGACTATAGTGTTTCACATACTTTGTTAATTTGTCCATGGCCATACCACCCTAAACTCACTGGGAGCTCTATAACAGCAATGTTACTCTAAGAGAAATGGGGTATATGTTCAAGAAAAATATGTAAACTGGGCATGGTGGCACATACACAAATCAGAACCAAGGAGGCTGAGGCAGGAGAAGCATGAATTTGAGGACAGTCTGGGTTATATAGCACAATTCTGTCTAAAACAAATAATGATGGTGAGGGAAAAAAAAAAGATGTGCAAAACCAGCCATGGCAGCCATATTCCTTCTAAATCAAAACTGAAAATGACCCAGCAGTAAAACAGAAAATCTGCTGTATGTTCATATAACAGAATACTAACTACACAGCACTCAACAACAAGAAAACAAACCACCAAAATGATATGACCACACAGATCCCACATACCTTTAAAGGAAGCAAAAGCAGCAAGTTACAAGAGTACAAACAGAAATTGAAGAAGGAGCAGATCTAAAATATCTACATATAACAAAGTAACAAATACACACACAGAGACACAAGGTTCTCTTTAAGAACAAGACAATTTAATGCCACCTCTCCACTCTTGACCAAGGGAGCCCAGTCTTGCCTGGTACTTTTTCCTAGTCATTCTCTCACTGATCATTCTTCTCTCACCTCTTTTACTTTACATTTACTCCTCAATCTTCCAGAAGAGAACTTCCTCCTTATCACTGTACCTTCAAATCTCCAGCTACGTTCTGAGGTGAGGGATCAGGACTGAAGACGACAGTTGGTTGAAACACCGTTGGAAAGAAGAGTCAAGAGACTGGAGGCGTACAGACGTGAGTATCACCAACAAACAGTAAAGCCTGAGTGAGTTTAACAACCCATCAGGAGCTGGGCGGCGGCGGCACACGCCTTTAATCCCAGTACTTAGGAGGCAGAGCCAAGCGGATCTCTGTGAGTTTGAGGCCAGCCTGGGCTACAGAGTGAGTTCCAGGACAGGCTCCAAAGCTACCAGAGAAACACTGTCTTGAAAAACAAAAACCAAACCAAACAAACAAACCAACAAAAAACAAAACAAACCAACAAAAAAACCCATTAGCAAAACAGAGCTATAAGGAGGCAAAGAAACGAAGTTACATCAGCCAAGGTCAGATGAGGTGGGACCGGTAAGAGAGTGACTGAACTGATGGCTGCGAATGCTTTACAATTGTTAAAGGTGATGAAGGTACCTTTACTGAATTACTGAAGAGATCTGAAGTGTCAGGACTTACAAACTCAAGCTGAAGCGGAGGACAGAAGAGAAAGCAAGAAATCAAGACAGCAGAAAGCCAGGGTGTACATGAATTAGTGCAGCTTTCTGTCATCTCTGAGAATGGCAATGTGAATAAACGCTGCAAGGAAGATCATGTAAGTATTCAACGAATAAAGCCAGATCTGAAAGGGAGACTCAAGATGATTATAATACAGGGAATAGGCAGTAAGTTTAAGGCAAGGTCTGACAAGGGCTTAGGAAGGCAAAAACTACTTATGAAAAATAAATTGAAATGCTTAAAAAAACCCACAAAATAAATTATTCATGTTTTTACATACTAATAAATATAATTTGTAAGTATACCCAAAATTCATGACTGTAATTGCCTGAGATGGGGAATGGTAATAAAATACAAAGCTGTGCTACCCAAGGTGAACTACAATTTTTTCATCATGTTCTCTCAGTTCATTAACAGACAGGAAACGAGAACAAAAAGAAACAGCTAAACATTCCACAAAACACATAACCAACAACAGTCGTCATTACTTACTCTCCTCTACGATTACCTCTTCCACTTAAAAATACCATGTCATTATCACAAAAGGGCTAATTTCATAACAATACTTTTCTGTTTAATGTTTTTCTAGGTAGTAACCTGGCTATTTGTAATCCATGTTTGATCAAAATTAGGACATCAATTATCAATTTGTAGAAGAGCTGTCCCAAATGTACACATGGCTGTCCTAAAGAGACAATACTCAAAATGAGACTGATGCCTGAAACAACAAGGCAGATTGTAGTTCAAGTTGTAAATAAACACATACATAGTCCCTATGTGAAGTTTATACACAAGATCAAGGACATAAAAATAGTTACAAATAAGTAGCAGGTGTTTTTTTTGTCAAAAAGAAGTATACATCTGTTGATTAGAAAGGCTGAACATCATTAAGAAAATAACTCATTTACATTAAAGTCAGTGCTTCTCAAAGCATAGTTAATGAACCAACCAGGAGCATCAGAATTAATTTGCCCATACACAGAATAAGCTACCTGTTTATTTCTGTGCTTAAAGCACATAACATGAATCTGCATTATTTAAAATACCTTTAGTAACTTATTTATAGAAAAGTTTAAAAATCAAGGTGAAAAATAATTTTGTTATAAAGATTATGACTTAATAGATTCTTAAAAAACTATCAGATTAAATGATTAATAGTTCTCTTAAAATACTTATGTTCTTAAAAAAGATTTTATTTGTAATTATGTGCATATGTGTTTGCGGACACATGTGCAGGGGCCTGAGGAGGACAGAAGAGGGCACTGGATCCCTGGAGCTGGAGTTGCAGGTGGTTGTGGACCACCTAAGAGGACACTGGGCACCAAACCTGGAGCCTCTGTAAAAGTAGTATTCTCTCTTAATTGTTGACCCAGCTCCTTGGCCATTTTCTTCTTTCCTTTTGGGACAGTCTATAGCACGGAATGGCCTTAAGTTATTTTTACAATCCCGATCTCCCTTCTCCTTAACAATATATAGTATTTTTATGATGTCTACTCTGTTTTATTACAGTATACTAGTAACATTATAAAGGACATATTTGTAAAAATAAGACAAATTTAGGCAGCCTTAAGCTAACACACTTACAGTTAGTGATGTCAGGTGGTGCATAGCCATCATTTATATACATACTTGTTGGTTTTGCCACTTTCAAATAAACAAAATCAGATGTATTCTTTAAGGCAGTTACTGCTTCTTCATGAGTAACTTCTTCTAAACATACACTATTCACCTACAAGAAAATACCAAGAGATATTTGAAGACATTTCCATATGCTTTCTGATTTTTTAGTTGAAAATAATTACCCAAAAGATATGGGATATGAGAAAGTAATTTAAGGAAAACAAAGATATGTGGAAAGAAAAATGCCAATCATTCTATGAAACAAGGAAATTATTTACATATGTTCATGAAATAGACATTTTGATTCTAGCTCCTTTTCCACAGCCTCAACATTTAGGGATGTAGTAAATTCTTTTAGGGAGAGACAGGGTTAAAACACAAACTAAAGCCGGGCGGCGGCGGCGGCGGCGGCGGCGGCGGTGGTGGTGGTGGTGGTGGTGGTGGTGGTGGTGGTGCATGCCTTTAATCCCAGCACTCAGGAGGCAGAGCCAGGCAGATCTCCGTGAGTTCAAGGCCAGCCTGGTCTACAGAGTGAGATCCAGGACAGGCTCCAAAGCTACACAGAGAAACCCTGTCTACAAACAAACAAACAAACAAACAAACAAACCCCCAAAACCAAAAAAAAAAACCCAAACAAAAAGCCCCCACAAACTAAAGTAAGCTATTACTATTAAGTACTGCACAATTTGTACAACTATGCACAAATACCCTGACATTCTGTCACTAAATGTTATGTTTTCTTATTTTCCTATTTAGTGTTAGATATGGAACATAAGAGCTGACAAGATATACTGAGGCACTCAATGTGCAGTAGGAAAGAAGATGATCTCAAAGTTTAGACTTGAGCAAAGTTATCTGACATTGATCAAAGAGTCTTGATTTACAGTTAAACAATGACCTTGGGAGTGGAGTAAGCACTAACAAAACACAGAATGCACATCTTAATGTTTGTAAGAAAGGAGAGAGAACCAGTGAGTGAGATAAAGAAATATATCAAATTAGAGGCTAATTATTCGAAATACAAAAAGTATTTGGAGAATGATGGTGTGCCACGCACCAGGTTATGTCAATTAAAAATGAGGCTTCAAAAATTGTGTAAGTTCAGTGTAATTGTGAGAATAAAGGCTTCATTAAAGTTTATTTAGACAGAATGCAATCCTGTTGCTTTTGAAAATCAACATAGGTTATTGGCTTCGTGCCAAGAGTACTGGTTCTGGACAAACAATAAAAGAAAGCAATAAAAATAAAATTGAGGGCTGGAGAGATGGCTAAGCGGGTAAACGAACTAGCTGCACCATCCCGACAACCTAAGTTAGATCCCTGGACTCAAAACCAACTGGCAGTGGTGCTATACATCTGCGATGCCAGCACTCCTAACGATGGAGGCAGACAGACACGGGACTCTGCGGGAAGCTAGCCTGGGGTGTGCAGCACAGCAAGAGAAACGAGGGCCACCCTGCCTCAAGAAGGGGCAAGGGAGTCCTGAGCTGGCACCTGTACTCACACACACGTATACAGAATAAAAAATAAGTACGAGATGAGAGAAATCGAGTGATCTGTGAGGCTGTTTGTATTGGCAAATGTGTACTTGTGGTGGAACTACTGCTTGTACTACTGCTTAGGGAAAGGCTGGTGATTCCACTCTAGGACAAGAAGTGAGAGCAGAGAGCATGCTCCTTCCCCTTGCCCACCGCCAAGTGCTAATGCTGAAACAGTTATAAGTGTCTAGAAAACAGTAGGGTGGTAGCTTTGTGGCTTAGTAATGTTACTAGCAGAATACCCAATGAGCCAATAAAACCCATGCTTACTAGTCAATGAAACTTTGTATACAAGTACACAGCAGTTCTTCCTACCATAATTATTATAACACTCCAAGTGGAAATGACTTAATTCCCACTCTACTACACCCATTTTACGGCTTCACAAATTTATCTGGGTCCTCCCGTCACTAGGCTTGAACGTACACTGCCCTGGCTATTTTTGCCCTCATTCTGTCTCCTAACTGTTACCATTCTCTCAGTCTATTTTGATTAGGAGTAGGCATGGCTGATGTAACCCACACTTGTGAAAATGTTAACATGTCTGACATGTTGTGCTGGCTGGTTTTGTGTCAACTTGACACTGCTAGAGTCATCTGAAAGGAGGGAAACTCAATTGAGAAAATGCCTTCCTAAGATCCAGCTGTAAGGTATTTTCTTAATTAGTGACTGATGCGGGAGGACCCAGCCCATGGTGGGTGGTACCACCCCTGGGCTGGTGGTACTGAGTTCTATAAGAAAGTAGGCTGAGAAATCCATGGGAAGCAAACCAGTAAGCAGCACCCCTCCACGGCCATCAGCTCCTGCCTCCAGGTTCCTGCCCTGTCCTGACTTCCTTTGGTGATGCTAGTGTCAAGCCAAATAAACCTTTTCCTCCCCTCCTGGTGTTTCATTGCAGCAATTAGAAACTGTAACTAAGATACACGTCTAGCTTTCTCCTCCCTTTCTGGACTTCATAGGACCTTAACTTTTCTTCAGGTTTCATTTTCCTAGAGAACATGAAGATGAAGGCAGTTGTTGATAAACATTGGATAAACTATGATGGAGTCACAGTTAAATTTGTATGAAAGGATTTTAGCTCTAGGAAATGATATGGATACATCACAGTATCACCACACCTACCGAAAAAAGCATGAGAAAACTACATATAGTCCAACACCCTCAAAAAAGTTTCCAAAAAATTAGCTAAATATTTAGACATATGTATGTGACTAAACATTCTAATTATTTTATGTGTTTTGTATTCATTTTGTGTGCACGCACACATGTGCATGCCTGGTGTTCATGGAGGTGAGAAGGTAGCATCAGATTCCGTCTAACTAGAGGCACCGTGGAGGCGCTGGGAACTAAGCCTGGATCCTCTGAAAAAGCAATAAACATTCTCAACCACTGAGCGATCTCTCCAGACCCTGTTTAAACAATTGGTAAGTAGAAAAAAAAGATACACAAAACTACTGGTGTTCTAGTTTTGGGGATGAGTAACGACTTCATTGGTTTTCATTGTGTTATAAATGGACGAGTTACAATAAGAGAGCCACACACGACCACGATAACACTGCACTGTAAACTTTGTGATTTAACAAGTCTGTGCATTTCAGGACTCGAACTCTTTAACTAGGAAAGAGAGGTGGGAGAGAGGAAGTGGGGAAGATGGAGAGGGAGGAAGAATCAAAACCAGAGTGGGCTCGCAGGAAAAAGTAACAATACAAGGATCACTGCAGGCTAGAATCCACTCAGATAGCTCTTACATAGTTTCAGTATAAAAATAGCAGTTTTGACAGGAAAATGTAGACAGGAGAATGACTTTTAGAAAAGTACTTATACTCACTGCTAGGAGCTTATCTCCAATCTGAAGCTTGCCATCCTTGTGTGCTGCACCTCCTTCAATTATTTTGGTTACATAGATGCTGTTATCACCAGGAATATGCTGATTTCCAACACCTCCAGCAATGCTGAACCCAAGACCTGGGTGGAATGTACTTGTTTAGAGTCACATCAATAAGGTGAATTAAAGCTCAGGGGAAAAGGGATGACAATCAGAAGCGATCATTCTATCACACAGAAAATGATTTCTAGCTGGACGATGGTAGCGCATGCCTTTAATCCCAGCACTGGGGAGGCAGAGGCAGGCAGATCTCTGTGAGTTCGGGGCCAGCCTGGGCTACAGAGCGAGATCCAGGACAGGCTCCAAAGCTACACAGAGAAACTTTATCTCGAAAAACAAAAACAAAAACAAAAAACAAAAAACAAACAAACAAAAAAAGATTTCTTAAGTTATCCGCTTTTCAGATCTTAAGTGTAGAGACTGGAGAGGTGATCTGTGGTGAAGAGGGCTGGCAGCGCTCACAGAGGACCAGAGTGCACACACACAACAGCTCCCAACCACCTGTGACTCCAGTTACAGCGACCCAACATGCTCTCTGGCCTGTGACCACCAGTCACTAACATAAGCAAGCAAAACAGTCATACAGATAAAATAAATCTAAATGTTTTTAAAAAACCTTAGGTTATAAATTCAGGGATTCTAATAGTTACAAATGTTCCTTTTTCTTTGAATTTCTTAAAAGTCTTTCTGTAAGTGGACTTCAGAATCAACAGAAATGTAAAATTACGTTCTACTTTTGTTTCTACTGTAGTTACATTGTTTATTAACACTTTAATATTTCCCCAAGATTAAAACAAGTAAGGGGAAATATTTTTTTCTTTGTACTAAGTAGAACACCAGGCTTTACAAATGTGGACACTTTCCCCTCCTAAACAGTCTTGAATTGACAACTTAAAATAACAATTTTTGCAGTTCCAAAATCCCATCTTCAATACCAAATTCTCCACAGTTTTCATTTGTTGGAATCCTACTTCCTCTAGGAGGCCAAGTGCTAGAATTACTATTTCGACTTATCCTCAATCTCATCAATGTCTTCAGAATTCAGAAATCACTTCACCAGTCCTCGATACAGAGGTGACCGCCATGATACACACCATACTATCTTTTTCTTAAAAAAAAAATAAAGATTTACTTATTTACTTATTTATTTGTTTGTTTGTTATGTATAGTGTTCTTTCTGCCTGCATGTGTGCCTGCACACCAGAAGAGGGCACCAGATCTCATTACAGAAGGCTGTGAGCCACCATGTGGTTGCTGGGAATTAAACTGAGGACCTCGAGAAGAGCAGCCAGTTCTGAGCCAACTCTCCAGCCCCATACTATCTTCTTTTAAAATCAAAAGTTAATATAAACACTGCACACGACTTCAAGAGACAAGTATTTCTTTTAATATGGAGAGTTTAACAAATGACACTGAAAACAGACACAAACAAATCTACGTATACGTTAAGTGGAGGGCTGGTGAGATGATCAACTGGTAAAGGTGCCTGCCACTAAAACTGACAACCTAAGCTGACCTTTGACCTTAGGGATCCACATGAAGGAAAGAGAGAGCTAACTCCTGCAAACTGTCCTGACTTCCCTATGCACACTGGGGCAAGCCTCTCCTTCCCCATCACATAAATAAATGTAAAAAAAAAAATTTAAAGTAAGTAGAGATTCTGTTCCCTACTTTTTAAAGCTATTAAGGGTAGGCTATTAAACAGCAAGAGAGCCTCTCTAAAAAGGTAAGATGGAGAGTGACAGAAGTCAGACGTTATCACCTTCTGGGTGTACACATGGGCATGCACACAAACACTACATACACACATCATCACAAAGAAATTACTCCTAAATTTATACACACACAACAGTACATGGAAATTAACACATGACATTTTCAAATACTGCCACCTTGGGAGGGATGCCGCCACTCTAAAATGCTATGAACCTACTGAGATTCTGCAGAAGACTAAACGTATGATAACCTTCAACATAAAAGAATGTTTAACTTGTGTTTCTTACACTGTCTTACTCTGATTGACAATGTACCTTTAGGACCTTTAATGAGTTTTATTTCCATGATTTTCTCTGATGCTGGCTTCCGCCTTTTCACGTACAATCGCACAATAGATCCAGCTTCTTTCAGTGCCTCGACTGCTTTGCTATGGGTTACATCTCGAACATCTGCTTCATTTACTTTCAGTATACAGTCATTTACTCTGAGAAAAACATAAAATATTAAAACAGTAAGTATCAATGTTCTATTTCACCAATTTTTAATTTCATTTTATTAAAATAATTATTTATTCCAGAACTATACATGAAGAAGCTACATCTTAAATTTCAATGTATAAATTTCTTAAGAAATGTATAGCAAATCTCAGCAAAGGGAGGAAAAAAATTGAAAACAGATTAATTTAAAAATATTATTTGTATACTTCTTCTGTACAGACAAAGATATTTGATAAAAATAGCAAACATTTGGCACGGACCACTTGCTAGGCACTTCCTTGGTGTTTCAATTCTTAAACTACTTGTACCAGTTATGTATAGATATAATTTTTACCCATGTGGCATGATGAATTTAAATATATTGCTCTCAAGGTCATTAATGAGTGACAGAGCTGTAATTAAAAATAAGAGAAATGGCTGGGTGTGGTTGCCCACGCCTTTAAGTCTAGCTCTCAGGAGGCAGAGGCAGGCGGATCTCTGAGTTCAATGCCAGCCTGGTCTACAAAGTGAATTTCAGGACAGCTACGCTACACAGAGAAACCCCTGTCTCAAAGAACAAAACTGAACAAAAAAACCCCCAAACAACAGCAAAACAAAAAAGAAGAGAAAACTGGAGCTCAAAGAAACTTAAAGTCAGTTAAGCTAGTTGAAGGTCAGAAGAAGGTAGTATCAATTTTAATTTCTTCAAATATGAGATGTAGTATTAAACATTACTTATATTTAAAAAGTTAAAGACCGTATCATTTACTTCAAAGTTCTCTTACGTAAACAACATAATTTTTTTTTTTTTTTTTTTTTTT